CGGTACAGCCTAATTATAATAATAAATTACTTTCAGTTTACTATCGTAGTCAAAGACAGTTAGTTCCGAGCACATAAAAGTCTTATCAGATGTTTGTTTACCTTCATAATTTATTACTAGGGTGATGAGGCAATAAAAACCCCATTATCAGTTCAAAATCCATTAACATTTTATCAGGACAATCATTGTTGTATTCAAGTACTTCCAAGAACTGTTGAGTTTTATCACTTTATTTCTTTACGACTTTCTCCAATTGTATTTTATCATAAAAATAATCGTTTTATGATGACTGTTAAATGTTATCTCTAACTCAAGTCAGTATTTTCGTAGATATTCAATTAGCCGCTGGCCATTGCCTACTGCCATAAAACTGTTTATGGCTACACATTAAACTTGTAACTAATCTACAATCTTATTTTATAAGTTAAAATATTTGTTATGGATATTTTATCTTTCTATTGACAACCCTCAAGCATAGTTGTTGTTATTTGCATAATTTTTGTTTTCCTTATTCAAGCCTACTCGATCTCAAATTATGTCATTACATGTTCTCAGCGCCGTCCTTAGGGTGGAGCGAGTGGAGCGACCGCTCCAGGCCTCGCGCCGGAGAAGGCCTCGCTGGCGATGCCTTACTATCGCTAGAAATAAGTTAATGTTTTGGAATGAAAATAAAAAAATAAAGGACAGACAGATACATGTGCCTAAAATATGTCTTATTTATTATGAATTAAGCTATATCAATTGTTGTATTGATTAAAACCTACGAACGACATTTAAAAAACAAAAGAATATCAAACAACGTTTGACAGCTTGGCGGCGATAACGGAACCCGAGCCTCGCGGCAGCCAACCCGGTGAATGTGTGTGAGTCATACGCTTACTCTTACTGGTACCTGGTACTGGTGCCATTAAACTTCTATTGTATGATTAATTAAGTTCAATTTATTTACAGATGTAAATGTTTACTGGATTGAATGGATAATCAGCGTGGATAAGACTGACTGTAAACTACTCGCATTTCGCAATAAACATAAACCTATGACAATATTTGTCATTAAAGTAAAAAGTAATACTGTGAATCAATTACACTGTAATGATACTACCTCTTTTAATTTATTATTAAAAACTCATTACTCATTTATTTAAAACCCCCATTACAGACCAACTGCCAAAAACACAATAAACCTATCTTGACAAAAAGTACATAAACAAGTTAGCCTATGAGCATTTACTATTTACAAAGTGACGGGACGACAATCCACAGTGAAGAGAAGTGTTCATTTTTTCATTAATTATTGTAAAGAACTTCGTGGACAATATTTATGATATCCACTTTGGAATTGGAACAATAATATGTGCTATAATATTAACGGTCATTTACAGAGTGTAAAAGATTCATTTGTTTCATCAAATTGCTTAAAATGACGAATTTGCAAGTATCTCATTGACAATTATTTATGTAATATTTTTTACCTTTAAAACACCCTTTACAGACCAACTGCCGAAAACACAATAAACCTAACTTGACAAAAAATAAATAAACAAGATAGCCTATAAGCATTTACTATTAATTGTCGTCCCGCCACTTTGTTTAATTTACAAAGTGTTAATTCAATCACAATCCACAGTAAAGGAGAAGTGTTAATTTTTTTTTATTAATGATTGTAAAGAATTTCGTGTGCAATATTTATGATATCCACTTTGGAATTGGAACAATAATATGTGTAATTAGCAATAATATTCACGCCCATTTTCAGAGTGTAAAATATTCATTTTTTTTTCGTCAAAATGCTTAAAATGACGACTTAACAAGTATAATTTTACAACAATTTTCCGGGGGGAACCCCCGGACCCCCCTCTCAGCTACTACTTAGGGTACTCCGTACCCCCCAGACCCCCCAGTGAGCTTGGTTAAACAAGGCCTCGCAATCATGTATTGTCCCAGGCCTCGCATTTTATAAAGACGGCTCTGCATGTTCTGTATCTTGTCTTTTATTGTTAGATGTGGCTGTTTAAGGCTTAAAATGTTTTTTAGTTTCCTATATTTTTGTGTTGTGTTGAAGGTACTTTATGCAATCTAAATCTTATGAACTAGATAGTGATTTTGCTACCCTCATTGTATCCTAATCAATTTATATATAGGCCCTCCTAAATAATTAGGTCTAGGCCTGGGTCTTTTGATTCTTTGGAAGAGCTTTAAAATATACTAAGAAATTGGATTGAGCCTAAGATAAACTAATGATTGATTTGATTGATATTGTGGATGTTAACTTTATAAATGAAAAGACAATAATCTTACTCTGTAATAATCCAAATTTTAGTTTCAGAAAAAAACTTTTCAAGAGTTGTATCTATCTTATAACTAGTTTTGAAGCCGATAAAAAAATATGCTCTTTGCCATTACTTCATCATAACCTCTAGTGAACAGCTGGCAACTACACTGTCATTGTACTGAATGCTTTTAGGCCTATATGTTTAAAAAAAAATTTTTAAACAACTAGACATTGTGTTGGTTGGAAATAATTGACCAGTTGTGTTAAATTATCTTGTCAATAAATGTTTCAAACATGTTTGTTCCTAAAAACTGTTATCATATTTTTAAAACCACTTTTATCGTGGCTATTCAAAGTATCTCAGAGTAAAATAGGTAAAGCCTTTATCTTAACTGTAATTTTTCTTGACACAATTCTCGTAGTAGTAAAAAGTTTTGTTTTAATAATGTGTGGTACAGTAATTGTTGTTAGAAAACCATGAATGTAGGATACTATCCATTTTCATAGTTATGTCAATGTATTTATTAATATTAAAGTTAAAAATAATGGTTTAAATAGGCCTACAGTTCTGAGCAGAAAACCGCAAAAATACGGGTAGCCCCGTACCGTACCGATTTTGTACCGAGAACCGAGGTTTTTTTTATTGAAATGTTGATAGCTTAGTATGAAATAAACAACATTTTCAAATTTGATAACAATATATCCATAAACAAGCAAACTACAACAGTTTATTTATTCTCCATAAGAATAACATGGGAATATTTAATTTAAAATTTTATGAATTACCTCTCTAGCAGTTAGGCATACAACAACAATTCAATATACAAATTCTTTCTTTTTTTAAGCTCTACAAAATTGTTTGAAAAGAAAATGTGTAATTTTATCTTTTTAGAGTCAAAAATGGGAAAACTCAATTGTTACCTTAGCACAGAAGCCCTCATAAACACCTGTTCCCATAGGCGGATCATGCTAGTTCTCAAACTCGTCTGAAAAACGTAGGTTTACACGATTGTGCTAAATTTCACTAAAGTTGGATCATTTTTTTGCTCGGGTTATCGAGTTAAGCCGTAGTTCTGTCTTCGAATACAGATGTCGTATTGTTGGCTTTGCACTTTGTGAATAGATTCTCTTCGGAAGGTTTACAGGAATTGTGGATGCGACTTGGTTTAGCAAGAACTTCACGATATGTACCAGTTCACATGATAGCAAACAGGCTTAGAAGTGACCTATTTGTTCAGTTCTCAAAGCACTTTAAAAAAGGATACATTTAAGGAAAAAAGGACGCTTTTTTCTCACATTAAAAAAAAGGATACTCAGTGTGAAACTGTGAATAATCTAACTATGAATGATCTAAGACTCTAGATGTACAGTGTCACTGTAAAAGGAAGAACTGCCTCCGTTGCTCGTGAAGGAATTCTGTCTAGTGGAGCTACTAGACAGCATATCTTACGAGCTTTTTATTGCACATACGTCCAAATCCATTGCTTGGAAGAAAATGTTTTTCAACTCGATCCTTTGAGTTTTGGATACAGTGCTGGTGGTTACTCTTTTGTGGTTTTTGGTCAAAACTCAATTTCCAGCTTTACCCAAGTGATATATTAGAAGACTGAAACTGCAAAACCTGTCCCAAACAAAGCTGCACCACATGTGTACGAAATGAGCTGGCATTCCATGTTGCTCGTTTTGTAAATGTAAAAGTGTTCCTGTAGTTTATGAGGTAACAATTGAGTTTTCCCATTTTTGACTCTAAAAAGATCAAATTACACAAATTCTTTTCAAAAAATTTTGTAGAGCTTAAAAAAGAAAGAATTTTGTATATTGAATTGTTGTTGTATGCCTAACGGCTACAGAGGTAATTCAAAAAATTGTAAATTAAAAACTCCCATGTTATTCTTATGGAGAATAAATAAACTGTTGTAGTTTGCTTGTTTATTATAATCACATTTGAAAATTTTGATTATGTCATACTAAACTATCAACATTTGAATAAAAAAAAAAAAAACACCTCAATACCTTCCCTGAAGCAGCAAACTTAAGTACTCATTACAAATCAATTTTATTTAAATAGGAAATTAATCTGACAATTTTAAGGGAATATTTTAGTAGAAATGCAGCCAGGTAATCGTTGCTTAGTCTGCAGGTTTGCTGCGGCGTGGGTATTTAGATCTTAAATGTAAAGATCAATTAGTGCTAAGCTCCAAATTAAAGAACAGTTTTATAAAGATATAAGAATTTTTCGTCAGAGTTAAAATTTATAGGTTAAATTAGCATAAATTTACTCAACAACTCATAAATAGTTATATTTAGGGCATTTTTGTAAATACAAAAGTTGTTCCTTGTTGTGTAAGCAACATTTATTGTAATAAAAGTGACTCGCTATATATTACCGTTTTCGAGATATAAGCTCCCTATGAGTTTCATGTAATAAATGTCACTGCCATTTTTAAAATGGCGATTCTGAGGTTATGCCCACTCTGCCAAGCTGGCACCCACATGAAAAATGATAACTCGCATAGTACCTACATGATCCAAGCAAGTGGATTAGATCAGGTGGAAGTAAATATTATGATTGTGATGTTCAACTAACAACAACTGTAGATAGTATGTTTTGGTTTAGCATTCATGGTACAATATAATATGTATCAGTCAATCTAATTACTAAATCACTATTATGAGTTAAGCCAATTCCTTTCCTTATGTTTTTTTAACAATACTGTAAGTTTCATACCTCCATGATATGATCAAAAAATCGTTGTAGCAGAGCATTTTCATCTGGTTCATTGAAAACTGTGAAGAATCCTTCAAATTCAGGTTTAGGTGTATACTCAAAGTCTTCGACATCTTCAGATATGATTTCTCTGTTTGTAATTAAATATCCCTAAAACAAAATCACTAATATCTTAAAACAACACTCAAACTCTAAAGAGTGTTTTTTGTAAGGGGTAGAGTTCTGCTGGCTTACCTGAGAAAGTTAAGATTCCAGGGGATAATAGAGAGGTACACAATAAAATAACACAAAACATAGCACTGGTATTTTGAATTGATGTAGGAGTTCTTCAGATAACATTATCCTCTTCAACCTTTTCTCTGAAGAGGTCCTACATCGGTGTTATGTGTTACGGTCTACGTGAAGAAGTCCTACATCAGTGTTATGTGTTACGGCCTATGTGAAGAAGTCCTACATCAGTGTTATGTGTTACGGCCTACGTGAAGAAGTCCTACATCAGTATTATGTGTTACGGCCTACGTGAAGAAGTCCTACATCAGTGTTATGTGATACGGCCTACGTGAAGAAGTCCTACATCAGTGTTATGTGTTACGGCCTATGTGAAGAAGTCCTACATCAGTGTTATGTGTTACGGCCTATGTGAAGAAGTCCTACATCAGTGTTATGTGTTACGGCCTACGTGAAGAAGTCCTACATCAGTATTATGTGTTACGGCCTACGTGAAGAAGTCCTACATCAGTGTTATGTGTTACGGCCTAAGTGTTCCACTGTATCCAATATTGTATGTATCCATTAGTCCCAGGACTTTTTAACAATGAATAAATTAACGTTTTAATTACATTCTTAGAAGCCATGTTAAAGTATAAATGTTTTACAAAATCATGATTTAAAATTTGTGAGATATTCTTTTAACATGGTAGGCTCTAGCTGTTTAAACTTGTATTTTCATTATTACCAAAAGTGGTTTTAGTTACAATTGTCTTATGTAGTTTTGACACAGTACAAATAAACGAAGTAGGATATTCAAAACGTTTTTGTTAACATAGTGTTTCATTTCCAGGATCTCAGATTGCAGCATTCAGATCATTGATCGATTAAAATAAAATAAAGTATAACCGTAAAACTGCTTTCATACAGATGTTATTTGCCTACTCAGTATGTACAGGTTATTCATAAACAACTCCTACATGTTTGATTCATTTACTTCACATAAAAAACAAAATCTTAAGATAGATAGTTTGATTGCTGATTAATAGAAGGTAGGCCTATGTACAATATTACCTGTCCATCAATCATGTACGAAATCATCATTATTTGGTCAGTAGCAGAATCTGGGAATTTGAGTGGCAGTTTAGTAGTCTCTATGTCAAACGCCAACACAATGGGATCTGGTCGCTCTATGAGGTCTTCTCGCCTGGTGATGGCAGGAGCATCAAATGGACCTCTGCTATGTACAGAGTACCACAAGCCAACAAAGATCTTGAGGTCGATTGACACTCGGACATGGTACGGGACATCATACTCTCTGTAAAATAGATCATGTATTGCTTACATGAAATTGAAGATGAAATGAAATGAAATGAAATGAAAAAAATGAAATGAAATGAAAATGAAAAATCATTTATTTATACAGGCAAAGTTAGGGCCACATGGCCCTTTCTTACACTTAACCTGTACTTTAAAACATAATATAAATATTTTAACATAATCAGCTTATACAATAAAACAAAACAGAAATCTACAGAAACTCAGATACAGAAACTTTTATCAAAAATCAGTAAATTTTAAAAATACTTACACACACACACTCACTCACACATACATACAAGTCAGCGATCGCCATGCGCATAGGCCCCTACGACAAACCTACCATGGCCATACGTTCAAAATAGAGATTTTTTAGCGCTGCCACAAACCGGGAACGACTATCGAGGGATTTAATAGCTAAAGGAAGATCGTTCCAAAGACGGCAAGCAGTTACAATAAACGCTCTGTCGTAAACTGCGGTCCTATGGTGAGGCATACGCAAAGTTAATGATGCATGGCGTTAGTATCTGACACTTTCTTCAGCTACAAACCTAAAATCATCTACAAAATATTTTGGAAAATTATTTTTTAATATTGAATAGGTTAGCGAAAGAATTTTGATTGATCTCAGGTCACAAAGCTTTAATAACTTAGAATGAATGTAGAAAGGTGTGATGCGCTCACTGCGTCTTAGATCATAAATGAATCTTAGGCAGTAGTTCTGAGCGCGTTGGAGAGCATCAGCGAGGTTTACAGTCATGTCATTGATCACAGAGCTGCAGTAAGTGAAGTGGGGAAAAACAAGTGATTTAACCAGGTGTAACTTTATGTGCAAAGGCAAGAAATTCTGTAACTTTTTAAGTGAGTGGATTGATGCAAACACCTTTTTACGGATGTCTACTACCGCATCGCCCCAAGTAAGTGTCGAGTTGATAGTAAGCCCTAAGTTTTTGACCTTGTCATTGTAAAGCAAATCTGTTCCATTTATAGTTATTGGATTCGTCGTCAGAAAGTCAATAGAGTTCCGTAAACGTGGATGACAAATTATGATCGGTTTAGTTTTTTCGTGGTTAAGTCTGAGTCCGTGTTTATTAGTCCAAGTAATGATTTTCTCAATATCTTCGTTCACTCTCAGAACACTTTCGTTGATCTGTTTGGGTGAAAAATGTGTATAAATCTGTAAGTCGTCAGCATACATGTGGTATTTACAGTGTGTGAGGACTGAGCTCAAGTCATTTATGTATAGTACGAACAACAGAGGACCAAGGATGGACCCCTGAGGTACACCACTAGTAACTGTCTCCCAGTCAGATCGTAAGTCATCAACCTCAACACACTGCCGCCTGTCTGACAGATAGGATCCCAGCCAGTCCAATACACCATTTGAAAACCCTATGGCCCTTAGCTTTTCCAAAAGGAGCTTATGATTTACACAGTCAAAGGCTTTAGAAAAATCAAATAGGGTAAGAATCGTACCCTGCCGATGTTCCATTGCTAGTCTAATGTCGTCCGTCACACGTAAGAGTGCTGTTTCTGTACTGTGAGCTGTTCGAAAGCCAGACTGTGAGTTGCATAAGATATTGTTTTCAGTCAGAAACTCAGTGATTTGGCAGTGCACGATTCTTTCAAGGCCTTTAGATAATGCGGGCAATATACTGATCGGCCTGAAATCCTGGCAAGAAGCAGGTGCTGGAATCTTATTTAAGGGACGAATTAGGGCAGACTTCCAAGAAATCGGGAATATGCTTTGCCTTAGAGATGTGTTGAAAATGCAGGTGATAGTGGGGAGTATAGCAAAGAGAATGTCCTTAATGAAGCGAATTGGAATGCCATCAGATCCAATAGCATTACTGCGAATACGTCGAATAGATTTCAGAACATCAGACTGCAGTACAGGTTTGAAAGTGAAGTTGGGGTATCCTAATTCTTGTACAGGGGAGTTTCTTAACTCCGTTATATAACTTTCAACTTGTTGTTGATTGATGCTTTGACCAAAGGAAGATAAGAAAGCGTTTAATTCATTCAGAGGAATATTGACTCTCTGTGCTTCAGGTTGTTTCCCAAGCCCAAGACTTTTTACGTTACGCCATAAAACTCTAGATGGTTGGTTATTGTTTTCAAAAAACATACGAATATGTCGTAATTTTGAATTCCGCAAAAGTTGTTTAACTCTATTTCGAAAATAACGATCAAAAGATCTGAATTTGAAACAGATTAAATTAACACAAATATATATATATTACAGTAGAGTTAAAAGAGGCATTATAATGGTGTTTTTATAACAAAGCTTAAAACAGGTATACAAAAAAATAAATAATTAATGTATATGATTGGACACAGTTACGGTGTTATTGAAGCTAATCTGTGTGCTAAATTATGTCTACTGATATGTATAGAAATAAGTATAGAACAAATGTAGCCTTAAATGGTTGGGTAGGAAAATAAAGAGGTAAATGTCACAACCTTGTAATTCAAGACTACCATACTGTCTCCTAAGACAAATAAAGAACAACATTATTTTTTTAATAACAAAAAGATTCCATTTGTTAATGACTTAATCACTTTGCCCATTTTAAAAGCAAATAAAAAAGTTTTATGTCCTGAACATTTTATAGAAGCACAATACTAAGACCAGAACTAAACAAGGTAAAGGTGTATACCAGAAATTAATTGTAAGATTTAATAATAGACTTTAAACTCACCTTATATCTAAGATGTTCTCCATATGATCAGACATCTTCTTTGTGGCTCCTGCATCTCCTTTATTCATCAAAGCTGATGTCAACATTTCTGTATAAAAAGTGTTGTTTTTATCTCTTTTGCGGTTTTTGCGTACACTCGTCATTATGGTTTGTTTCACTTTTGTCAACTCGTGCATTGATGAAAAAGTCAGTTTTAAGTAGCGCTGCTTAAGACCAATAAGATGATTTGGCTGTGGACAAAAGTATGACTAGAGCAGTGTTTACCTTCCTCAGGTAACTTAAAATACACTAGAGGCAGGTAACATCCGTGCCTACTGTTTAAATGATATGTAGTGAAAAACTAAACCAATATGTAGGTATCAAATCATTAAAAACCAGAAGTTTATGGTGTATAGGTAGAAGCTTACTATCTTCAGTTCATTGTGTAAACTCTAAGCCAATGGATTCAATTTTGATTTAACAACAAAATGAGTTTTTAGAAAATGCTAATTTTACCTTATATAGAGGCAGTGTTAAATACAGTAACGAACAAAAAGTTACTACTCCTAAGCTCCAATATAAAGATTCCTCCTAAAAGAAGACAATTCTTGTCTTTTTTGTTCAACATAAGGTTACAAACAAAGAAAGTTTTTTTACAAGCCCCAATCAGGGCCGATTTACTGAATAAGCAAGGTAGGCACGTGCCTAGGGCACGAGGCAATTGGCTTTTTTGGAAGGCGCCAAAAAATTGAAAAAAAAATTGTGGTTGTATTTGCATTCGATCGCGGTAAACCTCTGATAATCCCTCGCGGTCGTGTTGATATCGTAATCGCCTCCCGCGATTTTGGCAGATGATACTCATCTCCCGCCATCTTGTGGAGATAATCATCGTCTTCCGCAAATGAGGCAAAATTCTGACCTTTTCCCGCGATCGAGTGGACATTATTATCGTCTTGCGTGATCGCAATACAATTCTAATCACCCCTCGCGGCTGTGAAGACATAATTATATCGTTCCCCATGGTCGTTTGGACATAATAATCGCCTCCCGCGGTTGTGGTAAGATGGTTATCATCTCCCACTCCCGCGGTCATGTGGACATTATCATCGTCTTGCGAGATTGTGGCATAATTCTGATCATCCCTTGCGGCAGTGTAGAAATCAATATTGTATCTCCCGCGGTCCTGTAGACATAGTAATCGTCTCCCGCGGTCATGATGACGTCGTAATCGTCTCCCGCGATGCGGCAAAATGTTAATCATATCCCGCAGTCATGTGGAGATCATCATCGTCTTCCACCATTGCAGCAAAATTCTTGCAGTTTCCCCCGGTTGTGTGGAGGTTATCATCATCTTCCGCGATCGCGGAAAATTCTGATCATCCCTCACGAACGTGTGTATCCATATTGTCGTCTCCCGCGGTCAAGGAAAAGTCACTGTTGTCATGTGCGATCGCGGTAAATTGAAAATTCAAGGTAGAAATACAAAATTCATGCGTAATTCCCGGTTCAAATAACTCACGCATAATTACCGGATTTCCCGGTTTTCCCGGTAGGTGGACACCCTGTTATATAAATATATTGCAAAAGGGCGCTACTATTTTGTTGTGCCTAGGGTGCTGACAAAGTCAAAAACGGGCCTGGCCCCTATTGATATATTTTAAGTCTTTAATCAAATTTATTTCAGTTTTGACATAATGGGTATGTTAGTATGTTTTATTACCAAGTTTTCTCGAAGAAACTTGGGCAATTTTTGCCAATCTCATCGGCTAAAGCTTGCATGAAGAAGTAAAGAACAAACATTAAATCAAAACAAGTAAACAAAATTTAATACCAAATCAAGATCTTCTTTGGAGATTTGCTCAACAGATAGCACTGAACCGCTAAACTTCTTGCTAATGAATGCTGAAACTTCTTGTGTGAGTTCTTTCTTAGTAAGTATATAAAAGTACGGAGAAAATGGAACAGAGACTTTAAATCTATTCCCATCTTCTTGTATAAAATAATAATCCACAGCACTTATTAGTCTTTTGTCTTCATCCAAGATCTCAGTCTGAAACAGATAACAGATGAGTCAAGACAAGAAAGGTGTTAAGGTGTTAGGCTACATGATTTCAACATTTCAGTGACAGTCAAAGCAACTCTCAAAATATGCTAAATATCCTAATATGTAATTCCCCAAATGGTAGTCTTATGATCAAGCCAAAATATGGGTGTGTCTATTTTTTTGTTTAAATCGTAAGGTAAACATGTAGGGTAACTAACTATTTAAATACTAATATTAAAAAGAAAAATGATTTAAAATGTATTTCTTGGATTTCAAGGAATAGGTAAAAATACCCACAAGCACAAGACATTAAATTCAACAGAGAAGGTCCGTAGCTCTGATAGCAATGGCTACAATGCACATTTAGCAGGTCCAATAATTAAACTGAAATATTACCACTGTTCCGAAGATAGAATTATTCGCACAGATCCTACGTCAGCGTTTCCATACGGGGTGGGGTTCATTATCCCAAAAACAGGATTTTTCGACCATGAGCGGGATCGAAACGGGATACGGGATAAAAAAAGATTTTTGGCTCTGGCGTCTGTTTTTATTTTAGCGAATTTCTCTATAGGGATCTAGCTATTACTGTAGGTGGCACGGTAAGACCTAGGCCCGTAACCGATTTGCTTATTCATATTGATGTCCCCAGAGGCCAAAAACACTATTTGTTCAAATTGTTATATATGTATATATTAGCCTCTATATATAAATAGTAGAAAAACATTATCAAAATATCTATATTTATAAAAGAGGAAGTTTGTATATACATATATATATATATATTAACGTTATGGACTCCGAAACCGCTCGAGGGATTGTAATGAAACTTTCAGGCATTATTAAGCATTATTCAAGGATGGTTTGTGTGAAGTTTGGTGCAGATCCGTCAAAAGGGCTCCGCCCCAGTGGCTCTGGAGTTTCCCATGTTAACCTTATGAGTACTTATATTTAAATGGAATTAAAGAATCTTAACAGCTGGTTCAACTAAACAATTTGATTATGTGGTGTTCAATAGCATTAAAAAGTTAAAAGGTTAACCAACAGGTTGCAGCACTATTATTTCTTTAAATTTATGACAACAGCTAATTTGCAACCAAAAGGTGAGTGAGCGTAGCGAACGAACTTCACCCTGGAGGCGAGTTAGCGTAGCAAACGAGCTAACCAGAAGGCAAGTGAGCGCAGCGAACGAGCTGCAACCTAAAGGTGAGTAAGCGTAGCAAACGAACTTCAACCAGGACTAGCCATCGTTGTATACGTGATTGACCGATGCGAACGAGCTCATCTTAAAAATGAACGAGCATTAGACATAAAACCACATTAGGACAGGACGACGTCTGTCGGGCCAGCTAGTATCTATATTTAAAGCCCAAAGTACCCATGAACTTTTGAGAAAACTACAAGTCACACCCCATAAACCATATACTTAAAATGTTCGTCATGACGAGAAACCTTGCGCAAAACTATCCATTATTTCATAAATTGCCCTTTAAGGTCGTAATTCCTTTCTAAAGGGAACTTTCCATATACCTAATGTTAAAAATACCTCAGCTGTACTTATTTGTTTTTATTATGGTATTACTGTATTCTGTTTTGTTTATTTCAGCTTAACCTAACCAATCAATTATTTTATTAATACATATGAAGTCAAACGGGGTGAAGCCCGTGGGTTAAAGCTAGTATATATATATATATACTATATATATATATATATATATATATATTGTTCTTGAAGATTTCTTGAGAGAATTATGTAAAATGAAACATGAACCAGTGCGAGTTTTTGTTTACAACGTTGATTAGGTTAGGTTTGTTTGATACAAACGTTTTCAAGCAGAGAGAAATTAATGAAATTGAAATGTAAAACTGAACAAAACAATTAATAAATAAATATGAACAGTCTACAAATATTTGAATTTTTAGAACATATGATTGAGTACAGATAAAATAAAAATAAAATCAGCCTTAAAGAAAATTTAAATTCTGATGAGTTGAATCAATTTTTACCATCTTAAACTTAATCCAGAGGGGAACATTGTTTTAAGTACTAACTGGTGAGCCAATTCAGAATTTCTTAAGACCAGTTGGTTGAAATTAGGATTTTGATGTGGGTTTACTTTGTGAAGGGCTTTAAGGGTATAGCAGCCTTCAAAATTTTGGTTGTGGTGGGCGGCATGATTATACAGTAAACTCTCAATTATCCGCGGGAGGTTTATCTGCTTTGCGGATTATCTGCGGTGCATGTAGGTAAAAAAAACATAGTTAAAATAAAGTTACTAAACGAAACCGCAATAAAAATCACAAATACAGTACAGTACACTTAACAATGTACAGTACAAAACGTTAAATGTCATCAATAACATGGATGACATTTATTAAGTTTTGTTATAAGGTATAATAAACACCTTTTATTGTATAATAAACATATTTAAGCACTTGTGTGTTGTTTTTTAGTGCCTTCCACCTTTGTTTAACCATCACCGGCAATTTTGCAGGTTATCCACGAAATTTGATTATCTGCGGTTTTCACGCCAGTCTATCTCGCGGGAGTTTACTGTAGATTGGTTTTCTTTTGTCTTCATGTACCACATCAAAACGATGGCCTGTCATTCAAACTCTTAATGAGTTCAAATTCTGGCCAATGTATTATTTTGGACAATTTTTACACGATAGTTGATAAATCACATTGTGAGTTTCCCAAGTTGATCTACCGACAATTGGATAAACCTTGTTAAACTTGATAAACTATGCAATCAATTCAGTTGTACTACAAATAGTTTTGCAAATACCATAGGGGCTTGGGACATGGTTCACAGCCGTGTTTAGAATTGTTTGAAGGCCGAGAATTTTCAATTTTAGGTCTCACCAACATATTTTTAATTTTGTGGCCTTTTAAAAATAACACGTGGTGGTCTGGAAAATAAATTTTCAGCACTGGGGGAAGATTAAAAAAAAATATTGAATCCTACTTTCATCACACTGTAATTTTTTTGTAGTACAGTATAATATTGAGTAGGCCTAATAAATTTAGGATTACTTGAAAAACTATTATAATGGTTGACTTTTTTTGGTTTTTTGATCTGATTGGATATTAGTTTTTGAGGATAGCAACTTTGAATGAAATCAGAATTCAATTTAGTAATTTTTTTTTCAAAAACTGATTTTTCCGTGCAGAATGTTTTTAGCGCGAATTGATAAGATTTGTTAAATTGATTTTTTCATATACATTGGGTGATAACTTTTATAATGTAAGTACTGCATTTGGTTAGTCTTTTAAATGAATTTTCATTTTAACTTTTTGACTGTCAATTAAGACATCAACATCTAAGAAAGAAACAATTGTGTCTGAATAATTCCAAGTGAATTTCAAGCAATAAAACTGGTTTAAATCTTGTAGAATTTTTTTAGTGAATTCATTCCGTGTTGCCAAACAATAAAGATATAATCTATATTTCATAACCAAAGAAGAGGAGTTAAAGGATTGTTTGAAAGAAAATGTTGCTCTAATAGAACCATGAAAAGATTAGCGTAGGCTGGGGCCATTCGTGTACCATAATAATAATAAGCCATAATATAAATCTATATCTATAAAAGAGGAACTATGTATGTATATATATGTGTATATACATTATGGACTCCGAAACCGCTCGACAGATTGTAATGAAACTTTCAGGCATTATTAAGCATCTTTCAAGGATGGTTCGAGTGAAGTTTGGTGCAGATCCGTCAAAAGGGCTATGCCCCAGAGGGTTTTAAGTGGGCCAATGTTAGACTTTTTGATCTAGAATGTTTACAAATAAATATAATTTAAAAGCAGATGTTTACTTTCACCAACTGTTTTGTACGTTTGAATAACTACAACATTCTGTATTAGCATTAGTCATGATTTGAAATAGTGTCACAGTGTTTCTATAGATTGCAGCACAGAAAACTATTTTACTTTTGAATAAGTCCAAATGTATTAAACCCCAATCGCAGCACACCTGTGCACTTAACAACGTTTAAATTCTCCAATGTTAAATATTAAAACATAAAAACCTTTATAAAAGTACTGTATTATAAACAATAACACCCCCGCCGCAGCAAACCTGCAGACTAAGCGAATTTCCATCTACACATCTGGAATTCCACTAAATTATTCCCTTAAAATTGTCAGATTTATTTCCTATTTAAATATATCATTAATATTAATGAGTACCGGTACTTAGGTTTGCTGCTACAGGGAAGAAAATAGGGGGTTTTTATTGAAATATTAATAGCTTAGTATGAAGTAAACAAAATTTCAAAATGTCATTAAGATATGTCCATAGACAAGCAAGCTACAACACTGTATTTATTCTCCATAAGAATAACATGGTAATTTTAAATTTACACTGTTTTGCGATTTTTCCGTAACCGTTAGGCATGCAACAATGCTTCAATATACTAAATTATTTGTTTTTTGGAGCTTTACAAAATGGTTTAGAAAGAAATTGCAAAATTTTATGTTTTCAGGGTGAAAAATTAGAAAAACCCATTTTTACCCCATAAACCCCTGTTCCCATAGTCCGATCATGCTGGTTCGCGAACTCGTTCGAATAAATGTAGGTTTACACGTTTATACCAAATTTCATCAAAATCGGATCATTTTAGCTCGAGTTATCGCGCTAACGGACACATATATAAATATATATATATATATTTTTTATATATATATATGAATTTGAACGGATGGTGTTTTTGGTCTCTGGGGACCTCAAAACGAAAAACTAAATCGGTCCCGGGTCCAGGTCTTACCATGAGACCTACGGTAATAGCTTATTCCCTATATGGGAAATTCGCTAAAAGGGATGACTTTTTTAAATGTATGACAACAGCTAATTTGCAACCAAAAGGTGAGTGAGCGTAGCGAACGAACATTAACCTGGAGGCGAGTAAGCGTAGCGAACGAGCTAACCTGAAAACAAGTGAGCGCAGCGAACGATTTCCAACCTGAAGGTGAGTGAGCGTAGCGAACGAACTTCAAC